TGATTCTGACTCCCATTTCCGGTCGCCTCCACCTCGTCCATGAGTCTGACAAACCCGCCTTCCTCGTCCGGCCCGTTAAGTACGACTTCCAGGCCCGCTGCGGCCACCGTCAGCCAAAGTCTGTCGCTGAAGAAGAGCCTGCAGGCTGCTGTTGATGGTAATACCGGTTACTGTTACTCTGCCTCTGCTTAGCTTGACTTGACGCTTTTCCTGTCTTTCCCCTTCCGAGCACCCTCTTTTCGCCCGTGTTGCCACTTTTTATTTTTCTTATTACTATTATTGATCGCTGTCTGAACCCGCTCCGTCACCATGTACTTTGGTTGAACCTTGCGCTGCTGTCAGATCTACTACTACTACTATTCTATCTTTCCTTATATAATCGTTAAATGCCCTTGAACAGTCCCTGTCTCCACGCCTGTTAACGGCTGTTCTGTCTGTTCTTTTTCCATGATGTTTGGAAGGAGCTTCCCGTTCTATAATTCTCTCGGCGGGTTTTATCCACGTGGTAATGGCTTTCCCTCTCCAGACTAACCCGCCGTCTTTCGGCCGGTTATAGAGGCTGCAACAATCTCGCCTCATCCTTCTCATCCTCCTTTCCCCCATTAGCTCTCCCCTTTTCACCCCTATTCCTTTTGGTCTTTCGGACTTTTTTTTCACTCCCCCTTGATCCTTGCTCGTGGAATTTAATTGGCTGTTGAATTCTTACGTTGATTGTGGACAATTGCATAGTCTCCCTGCTGACACCCTATATCAAGAGAGTCTAGATGCGAGAAAGCCTCCCGGCTCTGGTTACACCAGCAAAGTACGTGTGCGCGATAGATACCACATTGTGGGATTTATCAGTAGTGGTACTTATGGCCGTGTCTACAAGGCCATTGGCAAAAATGGCCAGAAGGGAGAGTTTGCGATCAAAAAGTTGGCATCCCACTCCTGGCATATTGGCTTCATCACATTACTTACCCGCTATAGGTTCAAGCCGGATAAAGAAGGCGAAATTATTCAGTATACCGGTCTTTCCCAATCAGCCATCCGAGAAATGGCCTTGTGCTCAGAATTGGACCATCCCAATGTAGTGCAGTTGGCAGAAATCATCCTGGAGGACAAGTGTATCTTCATGGTCTTTGAGTACACAGAGCATGATCTGCTCCAGATTATTCATCATCACACCCAACCGCAAAGGCATGCCATCCCGGCCTTGATGGTTAGATCGATCCTGTTCCAGTTGCTCAATGGCTTACTGTATCTTCACACCAACTGGGTACTGCATCGGGATCTGAAACCAGCAAACATCTTGGTGACTTCAAGTGGTGCTATCCGCATCGGAGACTTGGGACTTGCACGTCTTTTTTACAAGCCTCTTAACTCTCTCTTCTCTGGAGACAAAGTTGTCGTCACCATCTGGTACCGTGCCCCTGAGCTCTTGATGGGGAGTCGACACTACACCCCAGCTGTTGACTTGTGGGCCGTCGGGTGCATTTTTGCGGAGCTGCTATCGCTCCGCCCTATCTTCAAAGGCGAGGAAGCCAAGATGGACAGCAAAAAGACGGTGCCATTCCAGCGCAATCAGATGATGAAGATCATCGAGATTATGGGGCTCCCGACCAAGGAGATCTGGCCTGGCATTGTGTCCATGCCAGAATATTCGCAGCTGCAGTCCTTGGCAATGTCGCGTGCCCCGGGGCATTTCAACCGATCCTCCAACCTAGAAGGCTGGTATCAGAGCTGCCTGAAGAACAACGGGTACTCCGCCAACTCGAGTGCTGGCACACCCGGGGCAGATGGTTTCGATCTGCTGTCACGCCTACTGGAATACGACCCGACCAAGAGGATCACCGCGCAGGAAGCCCTCGAGCATCCCTACTTCAAGAACGGGGGTCCTATCTCCGCCAATTGTTTTGAAGGATTTGAGGGCAAATATCCTCATCGTCGAGTGACACAGGATGACAACGATATCCGTTCTGGTAGCCTACCTGGCACGAAGCGCAGCGGACTGCCTGATGATAGTCTGTTGGGAAGGGCAACCAAGCGCTTGAAAGAGTGATGATTTTTTGTAAATGTATGCAGATTGTTTGGTTTTATAAGGCGTTTAGGGTGGGGTGGCATTCGTGCGGATTTTTAGATATGCATTTGGAACTGGCGTTTTTTCTATCTTGCAAATATACTTATCTTCGTGCACAAAGCTAGAGATTAGGGAAATTCCGAACTAGCAAGCATGTATACAATGAAATGAGCCAACTTCACATTTGTGACACGGTATCATATGTTCAATCTTGACATCTCCAGAATATGTCGATAATCTTAAAACTAAATGCAAATGACGCCCTTCCCAACCCATAGATAATAGTACCCTAATCCAATCCCAGTATACTAACAACAACTAATCCCATACAAACCATAACAAAATCAATATCCTATTAAGTAACCATCAAGTTTAGCAAATCCACAACCAATCTCAAGGGGGTGAAAAAAACATATACATACCACTCTGTTCCCTCCGACCACCCCCCTCCCCACCATCCCCATCATCACCACCCCCACCCCCAGCAGCAGAAGACGCGGCATCCCGAATAGACTGCTCATCACCCCTCAACTTCTCAAAATAGGACTTAATATCCTCGGCACTAACCGCCTTACCCGTCTCCGCAAACGGCTTCAAAAACTCCTTCACCTTATCGCGCAGATGGTTGTACACCATTGCGCCCTCGATAGCACGCACTCGGTCGATATTGCTCAGTGCTGCTTCACCCCGGTCCAGAAGACTGCCTGTGCCGGTGCTGCCTCCCCCGTTGGCACCCTCGCCGTCGCCGTCGTCGGACATGGGCGGCTCGTAGGTCTCTTCTTCTTCGCGTAGTTGAGGGTGCGATGCTAGGTGTGGGTAGCAGTCGCGGCAGCGGCAGAAGTGGTCGCGGAAGTCGTCTTTTAGGAAGAGGGAGAAGGTGTGGCTTGGGGGGTTTGTGGGTAGGTGGGTGTGTTTGGGTGGGGAGGGGTTGGTGGTGGTTTTGTCGGTGTCTTGGGATGTGTCGGGTTTGAGTTCGGTGGTGGTGGTAGTGGTCGTGTCGTTGTTTCCGGGCTTGGGCTCTTCTGTAGACTCCTCTTTTGGTCGCTTTGGAGCAGGATCGCTTTCCTCGTCGGCGCTGTCGTCCGCTTTGTGTTTCTTGGGGTTGCTGGGTTGCTCTGGTTCTGTGGTCTGGGGCGTTTGTTCTATGGTGGTAGGTTTGGTTTCCTCTTCTGAGGGTTTGGCGAGTCCGCCTTCTTTGTATACTGGGGGTAGGAAGCCCGGTGTTCCCGCGTAGCGCTTTACCCAGGGATTCGAGTCGACGCACTTGTAGCAGAGGAAGATCGCAAAGTCTTCTTCCGCAGGGAATCCGGGCGGAAGAGGGGTCTCTTCTTCCTCGTCATCGTCGGCTGTCTCTCCATCGGTAGCTCCATCTTTCTTCGCACCCTTGTACCAGTCGCGCGGCAGGCCGATCAGGCATTCTGGGTGCCACCAGTCTTCGCCGCAACCACCGGTCTCTACTGTGCCCAGACCCAAACACTGGAACATCGTACCGCGTTCCTTATGCGGGTCATAGTCCTCGCCGCATCCGCAAAACTTGTTCTGGAAGTTGTGGTTGTATTTGTTGCCTTGGTGAGGTTGCTCTGAATGCACGCCTTTCGCGCCGGTCTTGGGGTCGTTCCGAAGGGTGCATGGGGAGGTGGCGGGCATGCGGGTTGTTCCACAGTCGCAGACAAAGTTCCGCTTGTTGAAGAGCTCGACGAGATCGTGTTCGCCATGGCAGGAGATGGAGCATGAGTAGCACACGGCGGCGGGGGTATATGACTCTTCGGAGGTGGAGGGGTTGCAGGTCAGGCAGGCGAAGAGAGATTGGCGAAGGGGTCCTAAATCTTGTGTACAAGTGTCGAATGACTTGTATAGATGTTAGTATGTTTGACACTTCTTCACTTTTCTCTCATCGATACGTAAAAGGTAGGGCTTACATATGGAAGGACTTCACGCGCATCGGCTTCAAGTCGAATCTGTGATTCAATGAATCTATAGAGGCATTAGTTGTCTGCGCAACAAATTTTGCGATGTATCCCCAGTGCATGCGCGTTGCAGGTCGATGGATACTCACTCCTTCGCGGTCTGCGAGTTTTGAGAGCTGAAGCTCTCGCGGCGCCCTGCGGTAGTCTGTCCGTTCAGTGCCTGTCCGGCATTGAGGGGTGGGTCGCCCGACTCGGTGTTGGCCATTTCTATCGGTGGTCCGTCACGCGATACAGAAATAATCTCAATGAAAGTTCCTAGTCAAAGAGATTGATCGGGTTCTGAAGAGTGAAGGATAGGTGATGGTTGCGCATACGGAGGAGGCTGAGCGGCGGCGATGGTAACGCGCCGGCGCGCAACCGTAAAGTGTTTGCCGTGTTTGCACCTATGTGGTTGGTAATCTGCTGTAGTTTCACCAGGTTGAGACTTCTAATGGATGGTTTGAAGGGTCTCTTTCAAAAGTATAATAAACTAATTGATGGTATTCTGTATCTAATCTTAATTGCAGGCTTTGGTGTTGATTGACGATGCTTTTAGTAGCTAAGTATAAGCGCAGTTGGATTCCTTCTCGCTCCTGCAGAACCACCCCACTGTAGTCTGTACATACCTCGGTGACAATTTAACTAGACCATGAGGAGTAATTCCGATATGAACTATTCTGCATGACGTACCAAGAGCTCCATTTTCCCACTGCCCAGAAGTCGAGTGTATCCACGAAGCATCTTTTATTCCACTTTTCGTTGGGCTCAGAGCGGGTCGCATTTCCGAATCGGGGTTTAATTGAAAACGGACGCGTCGCTGGCGCGTCTCGGAGACGCGTTCGGCGCCAAGTCCAGGATCTTCTCAGCTTGTGGCCCTTCGAACTCCTGCGTTGCCCAACGGAAAAGAAAAAACGACCCTCCGCACGGCTGTCTCTTCACCTTCCCTCAGTCTGCCCCTTCCACCTCCCCGCCTGTCAGACTGAACACCACACACAATGAGGTATGTAATGTCCTCGCCCATTGATTGTCAATGTTGCTTGGAACCACCTTGTTTGGTTGCCCCTCAAAACATTCGGAATACTAACAATGTCTTCCCAGTTCACCACTCCGTCCCAGCAATTCTGCTGCAAACCGCGGCCTAGGGAACCTGGGTCGTCGTAAGAGATCCAGAGAGCCCGATGATGAGACCTCATCGGTTGTTCCCCCCTCGAGTCGTAAGTCATGCTATGGTGGATGGCTGGTTCCTGATACTGACGCTGGCAATAGCCCCCCCTTCTTCCCCTCCCATGCTTCCTTTCGACGACGATGACAACGAGCGCGATGAGGAAGCAGAGCTCCTGGGTGACATTGATGATATCGACGAGATGGCTGAAGACGAGGACGGAATCGATCTGTTTGGAGACAACTTCGAGAAAGATTACCGAAGCACAGCAGACGACCAGTACAGAGGAGAATACATCGACGATGACGGCGACCATGAAGAACTTGATGTCGCTACTCGTCGTCAACTCGAAGCTCGCATGAACAAGAGAGATCGAGAACTCGAACGTCGCCGTCGCATGCCTGCGGCTTTCCTGCAGGACGACGAAGATGGTGACATAGATCTCACTCGTCAACCCCGTCGCCGGAGACACCACTACGATGAAGATCGGGACGACGTCGAGATGGGCGACGATGCCATGGAAGAGCTCTCCCTGGAGGAGTTGACTGATGTCAAGGCTTCTAACCTTACGGACTGGGTCCTGCAGCCCCAAGTCCTTCGCTCCATCTACAGAGAATTCAAGTCCTTCTTGACAGAGTATACCGACCCTGCCGGTGCTTCGGTCTACGGAAACAAGATCAAGACCCTTGGTGAGGTCAACTCGGCATCCCTTGAAGTTTCCTACGCCCATCTACTAGAAACCAAAGCGGCTCTTGCATACTTCCTTGCCAACGAGCCCACTGAGGTGCTGAAGGTCTTCGACCAAGTCGCGCTTGATGTCACTCTCTTCCACTACCCCCAATATCACGATATCCATAACGAAATTCATGTCCGCATTACCGATCTCCCTGTCTCCTATACCCTCCGTCAACTGCGCCAGTCCCATCTCAACTGCCTTATCCGCGTCAGCGGTGTCGTTACTCGCCGTACCGGTGTCTTCCCGCAACTGAAATATGTCATGTTCGTTTGTGGAAAGTGTAACATCACTCTTGGTCCCTTCCAACAGGAAGCCAGTGCGGAAGTCAAGATCTCGTACTGCCAGAACTGCCAGTCCAAGGGACCCTTCTCTGTGCACTCCGAGAAGACCGTTTACCGCAACTACCAGAAAATGACCCTCCAAGAATCTCCGGGCTCCGTCCCCGCTGGTCGTCTCCCCCGCCAGCGCGAGGTCGTCCTCCTCGCAGATCTCATCGATTCGGCTAAGCCAGGTGATGAAATCGAGGTGACGGGTATCTACCGGAACAGCTACGATGCGCAGCTCAACAACAAGAATGGCTTCCCTGTGTTCGCCACGATCATTGAGGCCAATCACGTTGTCAAGTCCCACGACCAGCTGGCTGGTTTCCACTTGACCGAAGAAGATGAGCGGGAGATCCGTGCCCTATCCAGGGACCCTGAGATTGTCGACAAGATCGTTCGCTCCGTTGCCCCTAGTATCTACGGTCACCTGGACGTTAAGACCGCAATCGCCCTCTCCCTCTTCGGTGGTGTCAGCAAGGAAGCCCAAGGCAAGATGTCCATTCGTGGAGATATTAACGTCCTCCTTCTGGGTGACCCCGGTACCGCAAAGTCCCAGTTCCTCAAGTACACCGAAAAGACTGCCCACAGAGCCGTTTTCGCTACCGGTCAGGGTGCCAGTGCTGTCGGTTTGACAGCCAGCGTCCGTCGCGATCCCCTCACCAGCGAATGGACCCTCGAAGGAGGAGCGCTTGTCCTTGCAGACCGCGGTACCTGCTTGATCGATGAGTTCGACAAGATGAACGACCAGGACCGTACCTCCATCCACGAAGCCATGGAACAACAGACCATCTCCATCTCCAAGGCCGGTATCGTGACCACCCTGCAGGCCCGCTGTGCCGTCGTTGCTGCGGCCAACCCCATTGGCGGCCGCTACAACAGCAGCGCACCCTTCTCCGAGAACGTCCAACTCACCGAACCCATTCTTTCGCGTTTCGACATTCTCTGCGTCGTCCGCGATCTTGTCGACCCAAGCGAGGATGAACGTCTCGCCAACTTTGTCATCGAATCCCACCACCGCGCCAACCCCGCCCGTCCTCTCCGCGACCAAGACGGCAACCTGATCAACGCAGATGGACACCCCATCGACGAAGACGGCTACCGCATCGACAAGAAGACCAAGCAACGTCTGCCCCTGACGGACGAGGAACTCGCTACTCGGGATGCCGAGAAGCAACGACGCGAGGATGAGAAGGACGGCGAAATCCCTCAAGAACTCCTCCGCAAATACATCCTCTACGCCCGTGAACGCTGCCACCCCAAGCTCTACCAGATCGACCAAGACAAGATCGCCCGTCTATTCGCCGACATGAGACGCGAATCTCTGGCCACCGGCGCTTACCCCATCACCGTATGCCTCCCTTCCTATCACTTTGAACCAATACCAGGAGACAAGTCTAACTAACAATCCATCCAGGTCCGTCACCTCGAAGCCATCATGCGTATCGCCGAATCCTTCTGCAAGATGCGTCTCTCGGAATACTGTTCAGCACAGGACATCGACCGTGCCATCGCCGTCACCGTTGATTCCTTCATCGGTAGCCAGAAAATCAGCTGCAAGAAAGCTCTGTCCAGGGCGTTTGCCAAGTATGTCCCCATTATTCATCAATGAAAGAATGCATACTAACAATCCATCTAATAGATACACACTCTCTCGCCCCAAGCCTCAATCCAAGCGGAGAGCAGGCATCCCCGCCCCTGATCCGTTCAAGCCGCGCATGCAGTCTTCGACTAGGGCGCGGTAAGAACCAAAATCTTACCAGCGTCTTGTTTATTCTTCGTACTGGGTTTCTGGTTTCGGTCATTAGGGGTTTTGCGTGGGGTTTCGCTTTAACTGGCAGCATTATGAATATGGGTTGATTGTGATCGTGATCATACGTATTATCACATATCACGTTTATAGGAGTTGAAGGGTTCATTGGGGGGGTTTTATATCTTTACTCTATTTTCCATCATGATGTTAATCTATGTGATCATGTGTGTCTGTGTGGGAATGAATGAGTCTCAATAATTTCCCTTTGGTTGTTGTTGTTGTTGTTGTTGGATTTGGGATTGTTTATTTAACTTGCTGCTACAGTGCTAGCTAGCTAGCTCGGATATACCTAACTAACTGAATAAGTATTATTTATGGACTAAAGATCTTTTTTCTTTTTGGTATCATGCTACTTTACTAAAGAATGTGTATTTTCAGACTGCTAATGCAGTGTGATGTGATATTATCAGTACTACTTGCTACTACCGTGTTAAGTTCTCAGCCGACTCAGCGACGAATGTAAATCAGTATCATACAGCAGATAGATAGATACTTTTTTTTTTCACAGATCAACATATCTCAGGCCATTGTTATTATACTATTATACTACTTCGTAGGTAAGGTACTGGAATCATACGTTCATGAAATCATTCGTGTATTAGACCTTAGTATATGAGTAGTAGTAGTAGTAGTAGTATTTTCTAAAAAGGTCTTGTAGAATTGTACTCATCATTACTTTACATACTATTACAATAACTTGAAAGTTGATATTTCCATCATTACAACAATTATCAAACCATAAGAGAACTTGCCGGTGATATTATCTAGTAATTTTGGTTCTTACCAAGTCTATTTTTCATCTCAGCTTCCAGAGTCCTCGGGTGGTGACGTTGTAATAATCTGAAAGGTGTCTTTTTGTGTGGCATTACATGATGAGTGCCATTGTCGACCTGGGCGGGATGCCGAGTCGGTTGGGTAATGTGCTAAGTTGTAAATGAGTGGATGAACTCCATTATGGCTACGGTGATATATAGACCCAAGAGGGCCGGCCAGTACAAGCATGGTAAGATATGTATTCAGCTGAAAGACACATTGCCTTCAAACAGCCCTAGTAGCAAACAAGAGAAGCACGAAACAGCAAAGCCCAGCCGGTCCCAACACAGGTCCGAATTCCCATGCATACAAGAGTAAATGCTCACTCAACGCCTTGTCCCTTCGCGTCCCGTACACCGTGTGGTTTACCAGTAAAAGAAACACCAACCCACCCCTGTCACCGCCTCGCCAACCCAATTGCATTGGAGTCGAGTACGCCGCTTTAGAGCGCGCTTAAACAGTCGCTCTTCATGAGCCTTGAGCAACGCGTCGGAAATCCCAAGGTAACGCTGCAGACGATAGAATTATCATATATCGTTTACGCCAGCCTGCGATTCACGATGCTTTATCTCATCATATGCCTCATTTTGCCTATCTTCTATAGGAGATAGACGCTAAAGGGAGTGCAAGAGGGATGCTTCCAGAGCGGTTTCCATCTCTTCACACTTCCCTCGTCATCTGCGCCAAACACAAGCAACGGAGTTTAAGTACGACCGTTGATCCAGATCACTCAAATTACTCAGTCGTTGCTGATGCGCCGCTCAGGCCGGGGCTTTCTCAAACTCTTCATGCGGTTGATGAACCCGCCGCCGCCACCGCTGGGCTTGCCCTCATCGAAGCCGGTGTTGGAACGTTCGTTGGTGAACCTCCGCTCCAAACCGGTATTCTGCTTGGGGCTGCTGGAAGAACGGGCTCGTGTACCTGTGGTGCCACGTGATTCCTCGGACATGTTGATTTGGGCCCCCTTCTTGTCCCAAGCATCGTCATAATCCTGGAAGAAGGGGTTCTTCTCATTGGCGCGAATGGTTCCTATGTGACTAGAACCAGTCGGCACACCTGGGGTGTAGGAGGACTCGGGAGAGACCACTCGGGGATTTGAGGGCTTGTTCATGCCCCGGAGTCTTTGGGCCAAACTCTTCTTGCGCTGCAAGCCTCCTCCGCTGGGACCAGCTCCACCGTTCTCGTTCCCGCTTCCACGGCGCTGAATGTCTGCCCGGCTAGCGGGGGCACCATCCAGAAATGTGCTAGTTCCCAGACCCATGCTCTCCGCTCCATGAACAGGTTCGATGCGAGTGGTGGGATCAAAGTTCGCAGTGTCGCTCTTGTTGTTACGAGGGTCAACGGCGGCGCTGGTAGAATAGTCATTGTAGCCTTCGTCCATGGTTCCGTGGAACAGGTTCAGATCAATGTTGGCATTGTTTGGCCCTGCACCTCCAAGGGCCATATTGGCAGAGTCCTTGGGGAATGCCTGCATGGGTGCAGTGCGCAAGCCCTTGCGGTTACGGTTAGGATTGCAGGCATCGAACGGCCCATCGTGATGGAACACTACACAACCACTGTTAGCAAGCACCTCCGCCAGGTCGCAATGGGCTCCAACTCACTTCCAGTGCCATAGATACTGGTCACGTCCAGTTTATCGATAATGTCCATGTGGTAGTTGGACTTTTTGGATGAACGAGGCTTTCCATCCTTCGACTCCTTGCCGTCCTTTCCATCTCTATGGCGAGCCTCCCGCTCCCGGCGTCGTCGCTCACGACGGCGTCTCTCGTCCTCGGTATCCACAAGCTTGGGGGTTCGTTCCATGATCGACGACTCTGAGTTGCGACGAGGCCTCCGCTCTCTGTAGCCCGATCTTCCGCCACTGCTCGTCTTCGGGGGGTCGGCAAAGATGTCCAAGGGATCTTTGTCGCGACGTTCTGGGCGTTCCCTGGGCGGAAGTCCACGGTTCGTCGGGTATCCGTTGGGCGCGGGCTTGTCCGGGCGCGGCGGAGCTTGTCTGTAACCAGTGTTCTGGGGAGCAGGGTTTACGGAAAGGTTCTCCTATATCACGTAGTTCTAGGTCAGTTCGGCTGAGCGACGTTGGTCAGGGCTGCGAAGTGAGCATACAAAGAGTTCACGTGTGTTCGACGTCATGTCCTGTCTCTCGACCGGGGAGACCATGGTTGACCCTATCACGGGGGCGGACTGCGGCGACAGAGTGTCGTCGTCAAAGGGATTCGTAGAGACTCGGCGTTCAGATTGACCACTGGCGGATGCGAAAGAGCTGGCGGAAGGCGACAGAGCACGATTCCGGAAGGGATTGTTGGAGCCCAGATTGACAGGGGCTGGGCCGAAAGCTTGTTGGACAGGAGAGCCTGTAGTCGAGCGGACGATAGATCAAGGTTAGTTTTTTCTGTTCCCTTTTCGCATGGGGAAGCACGGTCTGAAATAGAAAAGAAGGCGGCACAGGACAGATAACACTCTGACCAAGGAGCAGCCCCGCCAGAGGTGAAACGGCTGGGAGATAACAAAGAATCCTGGAAGGAGTACAGGCCCAGGGGGACAAAACAGGAATCAGCAAGATGACGCACCTGAGGGGCCCAGCGTCACGCCAGGTGGGTAGGCGTAGGTGGCAGGCTGTTGAGAGGCATACATGTTGCGAGTCCACGCAATGCGATGTCGAGATGGGAGTAGGTCAGAGGAGATGATTGGGGAATGAAGAAAGACAGCATAAAAAGACAGGAGTAAGTGGATGATCAGGAGGCCGAGACTGTGAATGCAGACGCCAGACTAGAGAGAGCTTAGGCGTATGCTGAAACGACGATGCCACGGGTGTCGGTCAGGGGCAAGGAGAAATAATTGGAGGGAGAGGGAGGGGACCGTTTAGTTTAGTTGGTACGGAGCGGCAAGTTGGACCGGTCTTTCAATTTAAGATTGCTTAATTCCACTTGAGGGGGGAAAAGAGAAAGAGGAAGAAGAAGGAAAGGCTTGAAATTTTCTCCGGGTGAGATTAGAATGTTTGTTTGAACGAGGGAGGGATGGGTGTGTGGGGGGGGGAAGATAATTTGTAAAGAGAGGAAAAGAGGGGAGTGAATTAACAAGGAGAGAAGAAGAGCGAGAGAGTAAATTAGTGTGAGGGAGGGAGAGGGAGAGAGGGAGAGAGAGAGACGGGGGAGAAGATGGAGCGGAGGGAAAGAGGGAGACAGAGAAAGCCGAGGGTGGGTTTAGTTACCGTACGGGCGGAGTAACTTAGTAGTTAGTAGTAGTAAGTAGTAAGTAACTTTAGCATCAAGTCATCAGTCCAGTTAAGTTTGGAGCAACGCACGGGAAAAAAAAGGATAAAAAAGAGAGGAGGAGGAGAGGAGCGAAGGAATGACGGGTGCCAATGAGGATCCAGAACCCCTTGGGGAAAATGATGGACGGAACCACTCGAGCTGCTGGAAAGAGGCAAAAGAAGGGCCCGGAGAGGCGATCGTCGACGCGGCAAAAGGAGGAAAGGAAGACAGACACAGAGAGAGAGAGAGAGAAAGAGGGAGGGGTATGAGTGAGGGAATGACCCAATGATCCAACCAAAGGAGATATTACTGGAAATGGAGTGGAGGTTTTTATTTTTATTTTAAATTCTTTAATTTTATCTTATTTTACTACTATTCGATGACTAGAATGAAAAAGAAGATACTAGCAGTAATATTATACGGATATTATAAATAAAAGGTATCGACTCCTTCGATGGATGGAGGGGGAGAGATACTACAAAAAAATAAAAAGAAAATATAAAAAGAAGAAAGAGAAAGGGCAAAGTTCATCCTCATCATCTCTGGTTGCCCAGGAATCAGTCAATCAATCATCAATCATCAATCATCAGCCACCACCTTTTTTTCTTTCCCTCCTTCTGCCCACGCAAACTAACTGAGTCAATTTGACAGGCGACCCCAACTTTTTTCTCAGGGGTTGGTCCGTTCCTGTGCCTGAATTGTGGATTGATTTGCTTGGTTGCTGCTAGTACTCCATATTAATCATCTCATCTCATCTCCCAGATCCTCCCTTTATTTTTTTATTTTTTAATTTTAATTTTATTTCCTGCTTCTGCTCCTGCGACTGCTATCGATCTATTACTCCGTATACTACGCAAAACTACGGAGTATCCTCCGATCATATGCAGAATGGCCATGTACCTAGGCACAAATTAGACACAAAAGAAAAGCTGGGGTTCATGCGACTAGTAGGGATGCGGATGCAGGAAAAACACTTTGCAGCTCCATTCAATGGTTTTCCGGTCAGCAATCGGCCAACCAACCGAACAAACTAGTGACGAGCTTCGACTACTGCTGCCTGTACGTCTTGAGAGGAGAGACGGCACTAGACTAGATAGGAGGGAACCAAACGTTCTCATCTCCACAGGTTCCCTCTCGTGCCAGTCTTCACTGACCCCCTCCCCCCCGAGAATAGAAACAAACATTGGCTTCTGCAGGACACGACAGACCCGACAAACAAACACACACCTTCTTCCTTCCACCACGTTCATCTGGACTCACTCATTGTTGTTGCTGTCATCATTCTCTCGCATGGCTTAGACGTTTGAGCCCTGATTTGATTTTGTTTCCTAAAATGGTACTGGAAAGTCTCAACAAACTCGTGCTCTTGCGTCAGCTCCTCCCTCAAGAATGCAAGCCCACCTGCTGCATCATCCATCCATTGTTATCCTTCCGATCGACACCGGCGGGCCTCCCACCATGAGGATGATCCCCCCCCTGGTCTTAGTCTTGGTCATGCTCATCCTCATCCATCTGCCGGTTAACTAGTTACCCAACCAGTTACCCAGTTAACTACCTTCTTGATTCAACTACCTGCTGGGTTAATAATTACCGACTGTCTAACTAACTAATGAACCAACAATCCATCCCACCGGCATCTTACTAATTCCATCCACCTCTTGGTTGTGCTGCGTGACCTGCCTTGGCCACCCATTTGGTTCCTTACTTCCGCTCAACCCACCTAAGTGAGGGTGGCTTGCGTATATAGGTTATAAATCCCGGAATCGCCCACTGTTTCCCCTTTCCCTTGTTTTCCGGTCCGATCGCGTCCGGAATGCTGTCTTGTGTCTTGCCTGTCTGAGGCGGAGCAAGATGATGATGATGATGATGCAGCCATCCAGCCGGTGAGTTTTGCCTCGATCAAAACCGACGGAATACGACAGGTGGATGTCGCCACGGTACCGATGGAGTCGCACTCCTCACTCGTGGCGCGCCTCTCTGTTACTGTGCAGCCTGTTGGCCCGCCCACCAGCAGCACTGCCAGCATACGTAGTACTACCATTCCATTCAATTTTTTTTCGCATCAATTAAATCCACCATAGAAAAGGGCTGGAATATATCCGGACTCCGCCGGCACAGTTGTCCGATCCTCCTAGTTTTCGAACAGATGTCCGACCTGCAGCATTATTCCATATTGCTTTTCTCAGCCCTGGTCCGATCGTCCCGCGGCGTCTGGCTCCGATTTGTATCGGATTGACGGCTGCTGCTGGAACTACCACTACTATTGACTAGTTGATACTATAGTAATATCCAGTACACTATGACATTGTGACTGGATGCGTGTGTGCGTGGCACAGCTGTGACCCATAGTTTCGAAAGGCAGACAAAGTATTTCCAGAGCGTCTAATGGCACAAATCTTGATTCCAATCAATGATGTGGTCTCGACCAGAGTGTGTTGGGCCGGTTCGTAATGTCTTTCAACTCCCTCTGCACCCGGACTTGGTTTGACTGCCTACTGGATCTCATAGTTGTTAGCGGCCTGTCCAATCTAGGCTTATCGTTTGGATCGACAAACAACGTCATCAAGCGGTTCAGTGTCACAAAAGTACGGCAGCATGCATCGATAACCGGGCGAAGGTCTCGCTCTGGCCAAGCCAAAGAATGCTTAAGATGTCATCGGATTCCCGAACAGTCAGAGGTGGGCGAGGAAGGACCACCGTCCCCTCAGAGCTTATCTCCGATGTGTTTCATACCGCAATGTGGCTCGTTTGAAATCTGAGGGATACTGTTCGAAGCCATTGAGGTACTGGTAGATCGAGAGGACCCTCCATCACCCAGGTGAAAGGATAATTTGGCGATCTGATTCCGTATGCCAGTCTCATATAAATCGCCCGATGGCGCTAGTTTATCGTAACGGTCGTTTGACATTGAATGGCTGGGTCGGCGTCATCTAAATTCCGGTTTCAATTGACTAATGCTCCGTACAGCGACCAATTGACTGATTGACTAATTACTTAAGACCTACTTCTGAGTCTAACGCATTCATTCAAAAGTTACTAATGTGAACCATTGGCTTGCTGCATAGATAATGATATTTTCTAGGTCAGTCTAGTGTTTCTTAGCAGCTTTAGCCTGCAGCTGGGGGTGGATAGAGAGAAGTAAAAAGGTAAATCGTGACCATTGCCCGCTGTCAACCCACTATGTACTGTAGACACAATAATGGCTTTCTTCTATTGATTCATGTGCAAGACCTAAACGTGGTCTGTAATTACTAAATATCAATGCCATCAAAGTAGTAATCCATGGCTCCAACCATGGCTCGGATAGTACTTCTAGAGTCAAGCTACACTATGCACCAGGATGAATGGCCAAACTGACACCCAGCAACTGGGTATCACATGATGGTAAAATGCCCAGTAAAACATCTGAATCGATTACAATTCATCGAATGTGACTGCTGGCCAATACATCTAAGTGGGGAGGCACTAGTGGCTATAGAAGCCATCGACTATCAACCAAGATCAAAGTGAATTGGAGCTTGCCGCGTCGGAGGTGAGCCTGTCTTGGCAACCTCCAACTGGTCGCGCGGTCTATCTGAATAGCTCCGACTCATTGCAACCTACGCACCACCAACATCTTTCTCTACTTCAAAGTCTCAGTCACCGACCCCCTCGGTCATCTGGCTCGTTCGAGAGCATCGTCGTCGCGTCATGGAGCAGCCACCCCCAACCGATCAACCACAACAGCCTCCGCCTCCGACCCTCACAAACCCTCGCTTCACCCTCGAGCTAGAGTTTGTGTCTTCTCTCGCCAATCCCTACTATCTGTCCCACCTCGCCGTGACATATCCGAATCTGCTGGGCATAAACAAGTCCGGCGATGACAGCGACGTCAACAATGATTCCGCAGACCCCGACGCGCAGGCATTTGCAGCATACCTGGCCTACCTCTATTCCTACTGGAAGACCCCCGAATACGCTCAGTTCCTGACCCATCCCGGTGCCACTTTGCGGGCGCTACGACTACTGCAGGAGGAGAACTTCCGTCGCGACATCATTCGCCCCGACGTCATTGAAAGGCTAGCGGGGACCGATGTCGCCGCCGAACCCGTCGAAGCAGCTGCCGAGTCTGGAGAACAGGAGGGCGAACAAGCCAAAGCAAGCTAGGAATATGCGCAGTGACACTGGAAATAGCAGGAAACAGGCGTGCTGCACATTGGGCTCGATGTGGATTGGTTCGGTGGTCTGTCCGGGACGATGTCCTGCTCAAGCTCAGGCCACTGTCTTCTACTACTTGGCTGCGGAGAGGGGTAAAATTGAGACACGATATCAGAAGATCTGCACGGGGCATGGGCAATGTTTGTCGATATTGGGACACCTTGATGCACCGCGGTTTATGCT